TGTCAGGCTAGGGGGGTACAGTGTCAGGCTAGGGGGGTAAAGTGTCAGGCTAGGCTTTGCGGTTATTAGTGTCAGGCTAGGGGGTATCAGTGTAAGCTAATACGGTACAGGTCAGGCTAGAGCGGTTTAGTAGTCAGCTTTAAACGGTGTATAGTGTCAGGCTAACGGTATAGATGTTCAGGCTAGGCTGTATAGTGTCAGGCTAGGACTACAGTAATCAGGACTAGGGCGGTTTAGTGTCAGGGACTAGGACCAATGTAATAGTGTCAGGCTAGGACGGTATAAGTGTCAGGCTAGGGTCGGTACAGTGTCCAGGCTAGGACGGTATTTAGTGTCCAGGCTAGGGCGGTTAAGTGACAGGCTATAGGTCGGTACAGTGTCAGAGCTAGGGCAGGTATTTCGTGGGGGGTGTCAGGCTACGGGCGGTATAGTGTCAGGCTAGGGCGGTATAGTGTCAGGCTTAGACGTTATAGTTTTGTCTACTAGGGGGGTACAGTTTTCAGGCTAGGGGGGGGCAAGTGTCAGGCTAGGGGGTAAAAAATGTCACGGCTATTTGTGGTACAGTGTCAGGCTAGGGGGGTAAAAATAGTGTCAGGCTAGGGTAACTACAGATGGTCAGTTCTAGGGGGGTATAGTGGTCAGGCTAGGGCGGTACAGTGTCATTTTAGGGGGGTAAAGTTGTCCTAGGTCTAGGCGGTACAGTGTCAGGCTAGGTCTGCGGTACATGTCAGGCTAGGGGGTAAATAGTGTGACAGGCTAGTGACGGTATAGTGTTCAGGCTAGGGAGGGTATAAGTATCTGATTAGGGCGTGGGTAAAGTAAATCTGATAATGTAGTATACTCAGTGTCTGATTAGGACATTATAGTGTCAGGTTAGGTTGTTTAGAAGTGAGACAGTTAGGATTGGCTTTGGGGGGTGGCAATAACTAAAATCTTGGGGGCATTAAGCCTCACCCCATCACCCCCTTAGATCCAAGCGCATGGTCCGCATGCTGCTTAAACAGCAATCAACCCACATATGTGAGGTATGACCGTGAAGGTCATACGCGAAGGCAGTAATTCTAGCACCAACCTCCTGTGTAAATCTAAAGTGGTCACCTGTAAAATCTTTCATAAGCTTTCGCCTATGAAAATTAAAATGTAGGTTTTTTGTCGCATTTGTGTTGCGTGGATGTGCGCTAGTTTTAAAGTGTGACATGGTTGGTATCTATTTACCTTCCAGCGTAACATCATCTTTTATATTTTTAACGAAACAATTGGTTATTATTATGGTGTTCTTTGTGCATAAAAATTTTTAAAAATGTATTTTTTCCAAGAAAATTGCGTTCGTGTAAAAACCGCTCCACAATATACTGCGTGACACAAAAAATTGCAACACCAACCATTTTATTTTCTATGGCCTCCGTTTTATTAAAAAAATATATAATGTTTCGGGCGTTCTAAGTAATTTCTAGCATTAAAAACTGATTTTTACATGGAAACAGAAAGTGTCAAAAAAAGGTTTGGTCTTAAAGTGGAACTTCACTCTTTCAGTCAACATGGACGATTGTCAATCCTTACACTGCTAAATGCATTAAGTACATGGATAGGAAAGTATATCATATTTACTTGTTTTTAAACGTCTTTTTTTTTCTTTTCTTTCGGTTACTACCTTGTGTTCCAATGGCCTAGGCAAATGATGTCATATATCCCAGGAGTCTTCAGGAAGGGAGGGAGGGTTCTCATTTAGCTAATGTCTGAGCTAAAGGCAGATGAATTCCAGGAATAAAATGCTAAATTAATAATCTGCCCTAACTCAAGATGGCCCCCACTGCCAGAAAATGCCAGGGTGTTTTTTTCAAAAAGATTCTCACCAAAATAAAGCATGGGCATAAAGACATGGATGGATGGATGAGTTTGCTTTGAATCAGGGGTGGAGTGACAACTCATGGGGATAAATATAATTTAATAAAAAAATCAAAAAATTAACAATATAATAATAAAAAATTTAAATTTCCCCCACGAATCATTATCACTCAATTCTGCAAGTGGTTCTGATTTACTATCGCTGTTCTCTAGCCGGTCTAAAACCGCTTTTGACCTAAAGGGACGCTTTTTGGACGCCATGGACGTTTCTCAGTTTCCAGACAGAAAGAACAGTAAAAATGCAGGCAGGGCGCCGGACAAAGCACTCGGGACAAAATGTATGTGAAATGGTTTGATACAGGAATGTTATACTATGTGATTTTAGTGTATTTAGTGAATGTCACTTTTAACATTTTTGAATTTCTCGCCGGTTCCGTCCCCCGTACTTACCGATGCTCGCAGGGGATGGAACCTGGAAGACAGATGCCGGCATTGGCTGGAGGACATTACAGGGGACACTGCAGGAGGACATCGCGGGAATCTATGGTGGCTAGCGAAGGACAAGGTAAGAGAAGAAGAGATCCTGGAGCAACACTGCAAGTGTATTCCCGAGTGTAGCTCAGGGTTACCGCTTGTGGTACTGAAACTTTTACCCCGAGCTACACTCGGGAATACCGCCAGGGGGGTTAACAATGAAATAAATAACATTTTTTGGTTTGTGGTGCTCAGATGCAGGGCTGATCCACTTTAAAGTCAGGATCTTTCAGAGCCTGGACTGGCTGAGTGACATCAGCTGACAGTGGACTTTAGCCCGCTGTCAGCTGAAAATGGGGCACAGGAGTGCAGAACGAATCACACTCCTGTGATCCCCAGGGGAAGTATAGCCAAGGTTGCTTTGACTATATTTCTCCTTTAAAATGTACTCTACATTATTGGTATGTTATTCACGTTGTGCTCAGTGACTTCTGAGTATAACTATTTCAGGATGTACCTACTACCAGTGGCGTCACCTAGGCTGCCTGAGGGGATGCGCGCCGCACCAGGTGACACCTATCGCACTGGGTGACACCGGACCCTCTCCATGAGCTCCACGAAAAGGAAAGTTTTTTAAAGCAAGCCGATGATCCCCACAACATGGATCGGATCTGCTGATTGAGCATAATGGATTAGAGTCCGATCCATTATGCTCCCCAATCCGCAGATCCGATCCATCATGCGGGGATCGTCGGCTTGCAACCTATACGGGGTTAACTGATGTAGGTAAGGCTGTGCAAGATCCGGGACTTGTCTGCAACCAGGAAATGCAGCCACGATAGCAGGAACCTCCTCCATCTGACCACTTCTTGAGCATTTGCAGACCGAACCGGTGTTGAAAGATCAGTTAACCCCGTATAGGTTGCAAGCCGACGATCTTCGCAAGGTGGATCGGATCTGCGGATTTTGGAGCATAATGGATCCGACTCCGATCCATTATGCTCAATCCGCAGATCCGATTCATCCCGTGGGGATTGTTGGAGGGGTGACACCAAGTGTTACCAAACCGGGTGACACCAACCCTGGGGATGCCTCTGCCTACTACTATTTTTGCACACTGTAAAACTTCCTAACAACCTGCCTGACTTGTTACATCATTTTATAATCCTTGTAACTAATGTCTCTCCAACAGGGGCGGACTGACAACTCATGGGGCCCCCGGGCAATAGGGGATCATGGGGCCCCTGTGTTCTTGCCCAAACTCAAAAAAGCCTATGAAAAAGGTACCAGGGGCATCTCATGACTACTGGCCCTCGGGCAGTGCCCGAGTTTCCAAATAGTCAGTCAGCCCCTGCTCTCCAATGATACATTATAATTTGTGCTAAAAAAGTTGCAGTATCCTGTCCATTGCTGTGCCTCTTCTAGCCTGCACAGAGCCGGGGCTCAGGTCACCCAGGAATACGGGTCATCTCTAGACCTCTTCAGGAATTGCCAAACCTGACTTAAGACAAGATGTTCATAAAAACTGCCCAACACTGAAAAAAACAGAAACAACCCGAGAAGGCTGGACTGTCTGATGACCGTTCTGGGACCATCCATGGTGAAGTTGTTATGTTATACAACGTTTATATGTCTTATAAACCATTGTCACTCTCCAATGACTATTGTTGTTTTTTTAGGAGGAATTGCCTTCCAACTGGGAGGATCTGAGCTGTCTGTGTCTGTGTAGCAATGGAGCACTATACTGGTCCCCTCAGCACCATCCATGACTGCTGAGAGGAAAGTGGAAGGATTTCTGTCCTGGGTGATCAGTGTTTAAATTGGATGTTAGGCAGTATGGTACTTCATGTTCTCTTTGCAGGATCAACTATTTAGTAAGGGCAAGGCCAGGGGCGGACTGACAACTCATGGGGCCCCCGGGCAATAGGGGATCATGGGGCCCCTGTGTCCTTGACCAAACTCAAAAAAAAAAAAAACCTATGAAAAAGGTACCAGGGGCATCTCATGGGGCCCCCTACTGACCCCTGATCGGGCCCTCGGGCAGTGCCCGAGTTTACAAATGGCCAGTCCGCCCCTGGACAAGGCTGTCTTTAACGTGGGGCAAAGGGGGCAGCTGCCCTAAGCCATGAAATTGTTATGAGGCCCAAAGCATCTGCCCCTGGAGCCCACAAATAGCATACTTACAGTCTCGGGATAGTCCCGCTAAGTGGTCCATTGTCCCGGGATGTCTGTGTCCTGGCAGGCTGGGTCCCAATTTTCAGTAATCTGCAGCATGCCTCTGTTTGCCCTGGTCACCATGGTGACTGGATATTGGAGCCGGCATTAGTATCTCATCCCTTTCACTGTGGGGAGAAAGTGGGTAGGTCTTCTGGCAGGCTCCAATTCTTGCAAGGAACCTGTAAAAAACAACATCCTGGTCCCACCCCCTCCTCCTCCTCCGAAGCACAGCTTGTTTGTATTGCATGCTGATGGACGGTTTGGCTGCCGAAAAAAAGAAGAAGAAAAAAAATGGTGCTGGGGGGGGTACAAAGAGTATGGTTGAGATATGTTAAGGGTACAGAGGTATGTGTGAGATGGGGAAACAGCTATCATTGTTTGAACACTGTTTGTGTGGAAGTAAATTGTTTTGACTGACATTCTGCGGTTTAGCCACAGGATGTCACTGTTTTTCGAACACAGCCTCAGACTGCATAGATATTTGTATATTCATGAAGAGGTGGGGTTTCGCTCACAGAGTTAAGAGAGAAACAGGAAGGAGAGAGAGAAGCCATGTTTTGGAGCATGGTGAATAAGGGGCCGTGTGTGAGCTGAGAATCTGATGACATCCAGGTGTGAAAGCGTCCCTCAGTAACCAGAGCTGCAGCTAAGTGAAGCTGATTGTGCAAGACCCTGATCCTGTTCAGAGAAAGGAATGTGATTGCTGCCAGGAATGCTGATGAGAGCAGAGGAACTAAGCACCTATTGATACTTTGGTTCTGCATGCTTGTTGGAGAGCTCAACATGTGTGCTTTTTCAGAGTCACCAGCGGAATGAAAAGCCACTCCCCCCGTCGCGTCACCTCCCCGCCCATTTCTATCCCCCCCCCCCGGCAGGGCGGTAAGATTGGGCACGCACCCGTCATTTCAGCTCACCCGCATAGAGACTGAGGCCCCAGATCCAAGTTAGTTAGTTAGGGTCTCTGTTTGTGTCAGGCCACAAGTGTTGTATTACTGGATCAATAGAAGGACTCACAACTTAAAGGTGGTACATTTCACATTGGACCGAGCTGATACGGAATTATTCCCTCCTGGCAAAACTCAAGCCAGACTGGCGGGTTTTGCTCAGAAGGAATTTCAGGCACGTGTCTACAGAACCACGTTTATGGGAGAGGGAATACTTGTAGATTTGTTTAAGATTGTAAGCTGTTGTGCTTTCACGCAGGCTAGCCCATCGTACCATACAGTCATACAGGCATTTGAGTTTACAGCTGCTTCTTTTTTTTTATAACGCTAAGGTGTGGCAGCTTAGTTGTTCCCCCCAGTATGTAAATTTTGTCACCTGTTTCACCTTCAAAATGCTTGTAAGGCGGCCAAATGAGGCTAAACATAGGGGTCTCATGCCTTATAAGCGTGTATGTATTTTTATTGTAACTCTTTCCAGCCGATGCTGTCCAGAGTTGTTTTCATCATTTGCCATGCTAAGCGTTTCAAATTCCTGTTCAGTGGACAAAACATGAACACAGGATGGTTCCTTTCCTCGTTGTGACTCACTGTATCCTGGGGAGCCAATTCACCCTCAGTACACGGCTCTTACATATGCAGACAAAAGTATATGGTGGCAACGGTTAGAGAGGCAAAGTGCAGTGGTGGGCAGGGGGCACCTGGGTTGCATAGGATTGCAGGTGTGGGATGGGGGTACAGTGGTACAGTAAAGGTGTGGAAACAAAAGAGATGTTAATGAGCAATCAGTGAGCAGTAATAATGACAGTCTCACCTCTAGCAACCAATCAGTGTTGATATGCAACCAATCTATTGATCCTGCATGAAGACTCTAGCTGCCAATGGGTGGTGAGCAGTAATGACCCCTCCACCAGACACCTTTCCCACCCTTGGAAACAAAAGAAATGTTAATGAGCAACTCACACACCTAAGCTAATCTCAACACATACTGCTGTCTCTGCTTTCTACTCTCTGTATTTCTCTGAAACAGTCTGAAATAGTTCAATTTACCACTTTTCAGTGCATTCTGGGCATTGGGAGGTGTCTACCGTGCTTAGCTTTAAAAAATGCTTCTAACGCAAACGCGCATAAATGCACATAAACAGACATTTTTAACCTACGTTTTCCAGCAGTCAGTTTCGATCGTTCAGAAAACATCCCGGTGTACATGGGGCCTAACAGAAAAAGTATGGGTTGCTATAAAGGAAAAAGGGGGGGTGATGTTGGCTATTAAAAACATTTGTTCTTGCCTTACCTTTTACAAAAACGCGAGTTCCATATGGATTCTGCCATTGATGAATCTCTTCAGTGTCTTGAAATTGTAATTTTAAACGGAAACAATACTTTTTAGCATCAGAAGTCATTAAATTATTTATAGTTATGGTCGCCATTTCTGTAGTTTGGATCCAGATGGACGCTCAGTCTGCCTGAATAGCTGGGGGATATGTTGGGGGTTTCTGTGTCATTGTAAATTTCATCTTCTTGACGTCCACAATAATTTTCGGTGGATGCTGATGCTTTTACTGCAAGATTTACAGACGTGATTTTGTTCTTCTGTACTGGAAAGGCAATCTGGCAGGGGATTGTTATCGCTCCTCCAACCACCGATTCCCTTCCTCTCAGCTGATCGATGCAGTATTGTGTGGAAGTTTCATGGAACCCGCCTATGAAAAGAACATATCGGGATTATCACTCAGGTAGGAAAAAGGACAAGAAATCATATTTTAAAAGGTGGACATTCGCTTTCCAATATCTGTGTGTCTATTCCAACAAACATTTGTCCCGGCGCTTATGTCAATTATATTGTGAGTGAAACTGAGAGTTCTGATTTCCCTAAAATTTAAAAAAAATTATGATGAAGCCTGAAAAATCTGATGACTTCAGTAAATTTTCTGTCTTGACAAAACGCATTGGAGTCAAATGGGAAGGGGAAATTACAGGGGTTTTTGTGTGGTTCTTTTCTTTTCATTGCACCATAGTACAGAAAAGTTGTGTATTTGAAATTCTTACTTGTATCTAAGCAGCACAATGGCTAAATGGTTAGCACGCACTCCCGCCTGGCAGTACTCCTGTCGTTGGTTCAAATCCCAACCATGGCACCACCTGCCTGGAGTTTGCATGTTCTGCCTGGTGTGGGTTTCCTCCAGGTACTCTGGTTTCTCCTCCCACAGTCCAAAAGACATGCTGGTAGGTTAATTGGATCCTGTCTAAATTGTCCCCAGTATGTGTATGAATGTAAGTTAGAGGGACCTTAGGGACCCCTTAGACCTTAGGGACCTAGATTGCACACCCTTGAGGGTTAGGGACCTTAGATTGTACGCCCCTTGAGGGTTAGGGACCTTAGATTGTACACCCCTTGAGGGTTAGGGACCTTAGATTGTACGCCCCTTGAGGGTTAGGGACCTTAGATTTGAGTACGCCCCTTGAGGGTTAGGGACCTTAGATTGTACGCCCCTTGAGGGTTAGGGACCTTAGATTGTACGCCCCTTGAGGGTGAGGGACTGATGTGAATGTACAATATATATGTAAACTGATGGAGCTATATAAGTACCTGAAATAAATAAATAATTTGCCGTTCATTTGAATTGTGCTAGAAAACTTGACAAAACAATATAACAATGTTGTTATTTGGTATTTCTGAAAGAAGCTTCTGAATGACATTCTTTCAATAACAGCAACTGTCTCTCCGTTGAAACAGAAGTATTGCAGGGGCAGTGGTGTATTTAGGTTTTGTGCTGCCCTAGTGAACACAAAAATCGTCTGGCCCCATGGACACCAACCAACAAAACACCCCCCTTTCCCCCTCCCGCAGAGAGAGCCTGACATTGACCAACAACACCCCTGCCCCCCCACCTGGGAGAACCTTCCACTATCAACAATTCTTTTTTTCAGATCCTCAGAAAGTTCTTTGCCATGAGGTGCCATGTTGAACTTCCAGTGACCAGTAAGAGAGAGTGAGAGCGATAACACCAAATGTAACCCACCCTCCCCATTCACACCTGAGACCTTGTAACACTAACGAGTCACATGACCTCGGGGAGGGAGAAATGGCTAATTGGGCCCTATTTGGACCTTGTCACTTAGGGGTGGACTCACTTTTGTTGCCAGCGGTTTAGACATTAATGGCGGTGTGTTGGGTTATTTTGTGGGGACAGCAAATTTACATGTTATACAAGCTGTACACTGACTACGTCACATTGTAGCAAAGTGTCATTTCTTCAGTGTTGTCACATGAAAAGATAGAATCAAATATTTACAAAAATGTGAGGGGTGGACTCACTTCTGGGAGATACTGTATATATATATATATATATATATATATATATATATATATATATATACACACACACATACAATGAAGGAAATACGTATTTCTCCAGCTGATTTTGAATGTTTGCCCACTCACAAAGAAATGATCGGTCTAAAAATGGAATGTTCGGTGTATTGTAACACTGAGAGACAGAATAGCAACAACAAATTCAGCAGAAATGCGTCTAACAAATGATGACTGATTTGCATGTTCATGAGGGAAATAAGGATTTGATCCCCTGTCATTCAGCAGGAGTTCTGGCTACCAGGTGTCTTTCATACAGGTAACAAGCTGAGATTAGAAGCAGTCTCTTAAATGGAGTGCTGCTAATCTCATTTTGTTACCTGTATAAAAGACACCTGTCCACAGGAGCAATCAAACCATCAGATTCCAAACTCTCCTTTTGACTGTGGACACGGGTCACAATGGACTGTGGTACCCTGGATCAAACTACATGGGCCGGCCTTCGCTCTCCCCGTGTATCAGTGAGCCTTGGCCACCCATAGTAGCCCCATGTCACCAGTTGACCTGTTCTCCTTCCAGGACAGGATAGGTGCTCAGCACTGCAGACCGGGAACATTCCACAAGAGCTGCCACGTTGAAGTGGCTCTGACCCAGTCATGCAGCCATTGAGCAGTTGTCCAAGTCTTTATAATTGCCTGTTTTTTCTGCTTTTAACACGTCAACTTCAGGGACATGTTCACTCGCTGCCTAACATATCCCACTGACTCCCACATGTCATTGTAACCAAACAATCCATGTTATCCACTTTACTTGTCAGTGGTCATAATGTTATGGCTGATCAGTGTGTATAGAAAGCACAGAATTAGCAGACCAATGCTACATATAATACTACAGGACCAGGGGCGGACTGACCATTTGGAAACTCGGGCACTGCCCAAGGGCCCGGGATCAGTAGGGGGCCCCATGAGATGCCCCTGGTACCTTTTTCATAGGCTTTTTTGAGTTTGGGCAAGGACACAGGGGCCCCATGATCCCCTATTGCCCGGGGGACCCATGAGTTGTCAGTCCACCCCTGCTACAGGCCATATATAAATTTACTGCTGTATATAAGAATCACTAGAGACTGTATATATACTACATACCCCATAGACACGGCATGAGCAGGACCAGCACCCTGTATATAAGAATCACTACAGACTGTATATACTACATACCCCATAGACACAGCATGAGCAGGACCATCGCCCTGTATATAAGAATCACTACAGACTGTATATACTACATACCCCATAGACACAGCATGACCAGGACCAGCACACTGTATATAAGAATCACTACAGACTGTATATACTACATACCCCATAGACACAGCATGAGCAGGACCATCGCCCTGTATATAAGAATCACTACAGACTGTATATACTACATACCCCATAGACACACATGACCAGGACCATCGCCCTGTATATAAGAATCACTACAGACTGTATATATACTACATACCCCATAGACACAGCATGAGCAGGACCATCGCCCTGTATATAAGAATCACTACAGACTGTATATATACTACATACCCCATAGACACAGCATGACCAGGACCAGCGCCCTGTATATAAGAATCACTACAGACTGTATATATACTACATAACCCCATAGACACAGCATGAGCAGGACCAGCACACTGTATATAAGAATCACTACAGACTGTATATATATACTACATACCCCATAGACACGGCATGACCAGGACCAGCGCCCTGTATATAAGAATCACTACAGACTGTATATATACTACATACCCCATAGACACACATGACCAGGACCAGCGCCCTGTATATAAGAATCACTACAGGCTGTATATACTACATACCCCATAGACACGGCATGACCAGGACCAGCACCCTGTATATAAGAATCACTACAGACTGTATATACTACATACCCCATAGACACGGCATGAGCAGGACCAGCACCCTGTATATAAGAATCACTACAGACTGTATATACTACATACCCCATAGACACGGCATGAGCAGGACCAGCACACTGTATATAAGAATCACTACAGACTGTATATATACTACATACCCCATAGACACAGCATGACCAGGACCAGCGCCCTGTATATAAGAATCACTACAGACTGTATATACTACATACCCCATAGACACAGCATGACCAGGACCAGCACCCTGTATATAAGAATCACTACAGACTGTATATACAGTACATACCCCATAGACACAGCAATAGCAGGACCAGCGCCCTGTATGTAAGAATCACTACAGACTGTATATACTACATACCCCATAGACACAGCATGAGCAGGACCAGCACACTGTATATAAGAATCACTACAGACTGTATATACTACATACCCCATAGACACGGCATGACCAGGACCAGCACATGGGACATCATGATTGCTAACTGATATCACGACAATCTTTGCTGATTATAAAACATCCAAAGAGGAACTTATATTGTTACAATATGTGCAGTATATGTGGAAAGACGCCGACGCAGATGGACTTCCTCTTCTCCCCGACTCTTCACAGACAAAGATAGAAGTAGATATTGGCGCAAACCTGTAGTATCGTTACAGAACACTCTTCTAGAAGAAGTACTAATACACAGAGCATTGTACATCTAGTAATAAGGGCTGATTCACACCATGCTTTTCTGATCCAGATGCATGTGTTTGATACATTTTCATGCGTTTTAATACGTTCCAGTGCATTTTTCCCCCTCTTGTCTTTTTTGCTAAAGCTTCCAGTTTTTTTGCTTTGATTTTATTGGTTGTTAGGAACCCGCAAAAAAAAAAAAAAAATGTATGGGCACCACCCAAAATCCATACCAGGCCCGTCAGTTAGGTATGGATTTTAAGGTGAACCCCATGGCAAAAACATGGCCTCCCCCCAAAATTCATACCAGATCCTTTTCCAAGCATGCGGTCAGGGTTACTATGATGACTATGGGTGGGGTCTCAAGGGGGAGGCCTGTGATGTCACCCCTTTGTGTACATAGTAAAGCAACGCTGTCATTCAATGATTGTTGGGACCGGGTTGGTCGTGTTTGATGGGCAGTCATCTTTTTCAGCTGCTGGCATTCATCAAGATTCATGATTGCTTTACATGTAGGGACATATTATTTTTTTTTCTAATCAGGGCTGATCAATTTTCAAATGTACATTGCTCAAAGAAAATGAAAGGAACGCATTTTAACCCCTCGCCTACCGGGCACTTATACCCCCTTCCTGCCCAGGTCAATTTTCAGCTTTCAGCGCTGTTGCACTTTGAATGACAATTGCGCGGTCATGCAACACTGTGCCCATATGAAATTCTTTTCATTTTTTTCACACAAATAGAGCTTTCTTTTGGTGGTATTTATTCACCGCTGTTTGTTTTATTTTTTGCAATATAAACAAAACAGAGCAAAAAATTTGAAACATTTTGTTTTTATTATAAAATTTTGCAAACGGGTAATTTTTCTCCTTCACTGTCGTGTGTTGATGAGGCTGCACTGATAGGCAGCACTGACGGGCACTGGTAGGCAGCACTGATGGGCATTGATGAGGTGGCACAGATAGGCAGCACTGATGGGCACTGATAGGTGGCACTGATAAGGTGGCACGGATTAGGCAGCACTGATGAGGCGGCACTGGAGGGTATTGATGAGGAGGCACTGATGATGCACTGATATGCAGCAATGATGGTCATGATAGGCGGCACTGATGCACACTGATAGGTTTCAATGATGGTCACTGATAGGCGGCACTGATGCACACTGATAGATTTCAATGATGGTCACTGATAGGCGGCACTGATGCACACTGATAGGTTTCAATGATGGTCACTGATAGGCGGCACTGATGCACACTGATAGGTTTCAATGATGGTCACTGATAGGCGGCACTGATGCACACTGATAGGTTTCAATGATGGTCTCTGATAGGCGGCACTGATGCACACTGATAGGTTTCAATGATGGTCTCTGATAGGCGGCACTGATGCACACTGATAGATTTCAATGATGGTCACTGATAGGCGGCACTGATGCACACTGATAGGTTTCAGTGATGGTCTCTGATAGGCGGCACTGATGCACACTGATAGGTTTCAGTGATGGTCTCTGATAGGCGGCACTGATGCACACTGATAGGTTTCAATGATGGTCACTGATAGGCGGCACTGATGCACACTGATAGGTTTCAATGATGGTCTCTGATAGGCGGCACTGATGGACGACACTGACAGCAATGACTAATGACACTGACTGGCGACACTGCTGGGCTGTAACAGCGTGAGAAAGTGCTGCTGATAACTGGCAACTGTATTTACTCCATGATCTGCTGTGTCATTGGACACAGCTGATCACGTGGTAAAAGTCCACTGTGATTGGCCTTTTACCTCATCACGTGATCAGCTGTGTCCGTAGGGCACAGCAGTAACAGAGATCGCCGGGTGGGCATACAAAGTCCAGGCAGGTAGTGCCATGGTTGGGACCTGAACCAACAACCCTAGTGCTGCTAGGTAGAAGTGCTAACCACTTAGCCACTGTGCTGCCCACAACACAAATCATTCTTCAAATGATTGGCTCTTGTGACTCAGCTGACCAGGGCCCCGCATTATAGGCTGTTCCTTATTTCTGATAGCAAACCTACAAACTTTCTGGCCAAAAGGCTGCGATTTGCATATTTTGTGAATCCAGAGGGCACCTCAATATGGCCGGTTGTTTCCACATGTATTTGCAATAGCATCCAGCTAAGACTACCATTTTTTTTTTTCTGTCAAGTGGGGATGAATGCTGGTAAGTATTTTTTTTTTAATTGTAAACAAACACTTGCGCTCAGATTATAAAACAACAAAAATAAATAAAAGCAGCTTGCAGATATGAAGGCAATAATTTAATATAAATAAATAAATGCAGCACTAAATATGTAATAGACTTATAGGACTTAAATGTAATAAAGTCCATATAAATTCCCGAATGAATGGAAACAGGTGCATAAGAGGAAAAGTTTGATCCAAAAAGCCCTCACCATAAACACAAACAGATTGACTTCTTACCAGACAGTTTGACTGCACAAAGGTCGGTCAACATGAGCAGTGTGATATAACATCAAATGCAGCAATCGATCGTCCATAGAGATCCCCTCCAGAATAATAAGTAGCTTCTCCAACTTCAATAAACCTCCAAATGGCAGAAACTCCCATCAGGTGGTAAGGGAATGGATAGAGAAGAAAGGCAACTCATAGTGTAGTATTTCAAATGTAATTCAATTTATTTATTTATTTCCACATACATGAATAAAACAACCAGCAAGGTAAAACAGGATGTTTCTGGCCGACAAGATGGGCCACCGTCCCTCCAGAGCGTGATGATGTCACACGGCGAGGCTCCACCCTATGCATTTCGTCATCAAAAAGACGTCAGGGGCATGGCCAGTGAGACGCATCGCTTCCAATAAATAGAGCTCGGAGGGACACCCCCCCTAATCGAGATGTGTTCCAGTAGGCGGAAGACAGGCTTGAAACAGCAAGTGAAGGGCCAACGGACCTCAAAGGGACCCTCCCACACCTTGGAATGTGCTCCAATGGCAGGAAGCAGATATCAATCAGAATGTTATTAAATTAAGAAGAATCGCAGTCTCATAAAGGAAGCAACCCTCCAATGTAGGTAATTTAACAACTGGTTCCGATCCAAATAATTCAAATATAATAACCGATCTATATAGTTCATTCAATAAAGATTAAACTATAATATGCTGGTATATATAACAACCTCAAATAGAGGTAACCATAATAAAGAAGGGACAGAGCCCTCTTGTTAGGTACATCTGGGTCCTTGGATCTCAGGTCAGGCTGCGCTCTCGCTAGACATCCATCATGGCCAAGTTCCCTGGTTCCTCAGACACTTATGCACCTTAGGGGTCCCTCCTTAAGTTTGGAACTGAAAGGGTGGCGCTCATAAAGAGCCCTCCTCTGCTGCCACTTCCAGCAACGTCTCCTCTATACCTCCTGTCTGTACCTGACATCACTTCCTGTCTACACCTCTTGGCCATGATGGATGTCTAGCGAGAGCGCAGCCTGACCTGAGATCCAAGGACCCAGATGTACCAGATGAGAGAGGAATTTGCTTTCATGCGTATCTTAAACGCACTTCTGGTGAGTGCGTATTTCACTTATTTCCTGTTCACCTGTGGATTATTTATCGTGGTTTGAAAAGGAGATACGACAGAATTTGTATATCACACTTCTTGTGTGGTTTTGGGACAATAAACTGAACCTTTAATTATGATCTAATAAGATTATTATTTGCATACTTTTTTCAATTCATGTTGATATAGCTCTACTGGTATTATTAGCGCTGCACCCTTTTTTCTATGTATATTGTCTTGGAAGGTTATGTTGGTTACCTTTTTGGTGTTCTAGCAACTTGCATCGAATTTTCACTACAGTGGGCGCTCGCTATACAATCTATATCTAGAGCCCTCTTGTTACACAGGAATTTTTTTTTGTATATACTAGTAATGGCGGCGATCAACGACTTATAGCAGGACTGCGGTGGGCATTCTGACACTGGGGGGGGGGGGGGGGGGGGGGGGAACTGACTAACTGCCACTGACATCCCCAGTGACACCAATACAGTGATCATTGCTAATAAAAAGCCCTGACGCTGTACTAATGGCACTGGGCAGCAAGGGGTTAACATCTGGAGAGATCAAAGGGTTAACTGTGTGTTGTGTGTGTTTAACGAGGGAGACACACTGTGCAGAGAGATAAACAGCAGCATGTCCTTGCTGGCAGGAGAGAGACCTGTGTTTTTTACACTTACACGAACTCTCCCCTCTCAGCCTACCCGATATATATATATATATATATATATATATATTGCATAATTTTGCGCAGTCCTGCCGCCCTGTAGCAGTACTTCTGCTATAGGGCGGAGGGAAAGTGGTAAACCAGCTGACTTATCATTTAACTGTTAAGAAAATTTAAGTTCTCTGTCACATAAAGCCACTTGTAAGAATGAAATGACGGTAATTGCCGTGCTGATAGGACTTGTCAGGTGTAAACTGCATTTAAGGGATCTTCGCGTATTTGTGTGCCAGATATTAGAATGCTGCATTTTGTATACGGTTTATCACAACAATTTGATGTTAAAAGACAAACGTTGGCTCCTATTATTATTGTAGAATTGTCGCTCTTTCACCAGGGATGAGCTAATCTTCCCTGATATTGAAGTCTATGAGGTAACTGCACATAAAATGCAACCATCCCAACCTATAACCAGCCTTAGCAGTAAGGTGCACATGGAAGGGCAATGCCAAACAAAGGATTTAGCAGCCAGCCTGCAAAACAACCAGTTTGGCTGGTTATGTTGGGACGGTTGCCATTTTTTTGGGCAGTTGGCTCATTTGGAAGCAGGGACGCACTGGATATCTTTGCTGTCATTTTAGGCATTCTTTCTACTCAACACCTTTTTCCAATTCAGCAATGTATTCCCCCACTATTTATGAATACAAACATGTCTATACTTACCTGCTGTGTGTAGTGGTTTTGCACAGAGCAGCCTAGATCCTCCTCTTCTTGGGTCCCCCGCTGGCACTCCTTAACCCTCCCTCCTGCCGGTGCCCCCATAGCAAACAGCTTCCTATGGGGGCACCCAAGCAGGCACACTTCCAAGATGTGGCTTTCTGTGTCCATTCACATGCACAGAGCCGTGACTTGGCCCAAACCCCTCCCTATCCTGATTGGCCCATTGGTTGTGCTTGACAGCATCAGGAGCTAATGGCTCCCGTTGCTGCCTCAGCCAATCAGGAGTGAGGGTCCCCAGAGAACCGAGGCTTTTGTGGACATCGCTGGATCAAGAGGGGCTCTGACGAGATTGGCCGAATTCAGGGTTATATGTCCGTAGGTTCAAGGCCGTCACTAGCATATAGTGCATTGAACATAGATAATCAAAGGTTTGCTCCGGTCTCAACAGACAAAGGCAGCTCACCCATACGTGGTGACATCAACTCCGAGGGCCCCACCCTACGCGTTTCGTCATCTGACGTCCTCCAGGACACTGACAAATGTGAGTGGTTTTAAAACGTTTTGTATTTAATAAATGCCTGAATGGTTTTACACTATGTGGATTTCTGTTTTCTTCCTTCATGTCCCATTCTGAGCATATGAGAAGCCAGTTGTTATTTGAAGGAGTCTCAATCAGCTGGTGTATGCTTTTGCAGATCGGTTGTAGCTGGTTTATAGTTTTACCAGCATTGAGCTCTGGTGAGTGGATTCAATTCATTTGGTGGTGGATTTTCACAGTGTTTTTGGGCACTTTATGAAAGAGTTTAATATAAAAGATCAAAGAAAATTCATTGTTTCACGAACACTACTTTTATGAACACTATTATTTATATGGACTTTTATGTTGGACACTAATTTATTTGTTTAATCACAGAATTATCTTTCAGATTTTTCACATCGATTTGTTCTTTTTATTATTGTTATACCATTGTTTATTTATTTATCTTGGTTGAGTTCACTCATTCAGAGATATATTAATTTGAGGAACGCTACCTTTAGTGTTTTTCTGATATACTCAATGCATGTAGGCATCTAGACGTGGTGACGATGACTTGCTGAAGTTCAAACCAAGCATCAGAATGGGGAAGAAATGGGATTTAAGTGACTTTCACCATGGGATGGTTGTTGGTGCCAGAAGGACTGGAGTGGTTATTTCAAAAACTGCTGATCTACTGGGATTTTCACGCACAACCATCTCTAGGGTTTGCAAAAATCCAGTGAGCAGCAGTGGAGGAAAATGCCTTGTTGAGGTCAGAGGAGAATGGGCAAACTGGTTGCTGTGACATTCAGATGGTAGGGTCAAATTTTGGCTTAAACAACATGAAAGCATGGATCCATCCTGCCTTGTATCAATGGTTCAGGCTGGTGGTGGTGGTGTCATGGTGTGGTGGATCCATCCTGCCTTGTATCAATGGTTCAGGCTGGTGGTGGTGTCATGGTGTGGTGGATCCATCCTGCCTTGCATCAATGGTTCAGGCTGGTGGTGGTGTCATGGTGTGGTGGATCCATCCTGCCTTGTATCAATGGTTCAGGCTGGTGGTGGTGGTGTATTGGTGTGGGGGAAATTTTCAAAGGTATTTGAAATTAAATCTTTATTATTTTTTTAGCAATACCATGGTGTGAGTGGATTTCAGTCGGTCACACGCCCCTCCAGCCTGTGTCTTAGAATAACAGGAAGGTGAAGCCTGCATCAGTCAAGATGTAATATCCCACCCCCATTGTGATTAGCTGGTAAGTTTGCATGGAGGAGGAGGGAGTGGGCTGTCATTTACCACTGTGTATACTCCCACATGTGTGACTCTATATTCACATGGGTTTCTCAGATGTGATAGGAAGGATATGCTCAGCATAGAAACTCACTGAAAACTGAGCATGTGCAGTAGCTGCCAACACTGCTCTGCAAAATCCCCAGCTGTATTGGGGACATGGACAGTAGGGGGAGCCTGAGAACAGCAGGATCAACCAGGTTTTTTGCAGAATTCAGAGAGTATAAACAGCATGTAATCCAGCATTTGCTGTTTTTTATGATGTGTATTTAGCGGCACTTTAAAGCTGAGCTCAGGGTTACAGAATGGTATGATTTGCACAGACGGCCTCAACAACAATGTGTATATTTTTACGACTAGCTTGGCTTATGTACAGCAGCAGCAACTCTTCAATGATTCATTTCAGCTTGAAAAATGTAGATAGTGGCAGATGCCTTTGATCAGCTTTGACCGGGGGATAGAAAATGTGCAGCAGGTCCCTGAGATAACACAGCAGTGTAAAATTGTCCAGCAGCGGGACAGCTTTCAGCAGGGGTGATAGGCCTAACTGTTGTGATTTAAAGCGGAGTTCCACTCACCTGTCAAAAAATAACAGTCAGCAGCTACAAGAACTGTAGCTGCTGATTTTTAAAAAACAGCCACTTACCTGTCCCTCGGTCCCGTGGTGTGTCCCCCGCAGCCCATTTCACCGGCCGTCCTGTATTCCAGGAGGCCGGCATCTTCAGAGTGTGCACCCGGCTGTGACAGCTTGCGGCTTCACAACCGGGTACCCACTGCACATGTGCGAGTAGTGCTGCGCTTCATGAATGGTCCTGTAGTCTTCTGGGACCTGTCATGTGTCCCAAAAGACTACAGGGAGGGAGGACAACTTCTGTTTCCAATCGCTTAGGTGAGCAGACCAGAAGTGGGAGCGGGTACCTGTCAAATTCGGGTACCCGCCCCCCCAAAGGTGCCAATCCTCAATGGGGAGAGGGGGAGCAGTCCTTAAAGAGGAACTTCCCCTTTTGGGTGGAGCTCCACTTTAAGTACACACTGTTCAAGACTTATTTTTCTTTCAAGCGATGTGAAAAAAAGGCAGCTCCCACAGCTGGTCAGTAACCAGTGATAAAACCAAATATATTGATCAATTCCCCCCCCCCCCCCAGAGACCTCCTTCACAGAGTCGGGATAGATTAAATGTTGGGGCGCTTGCTAATCCTTTAACTAGTCCATTAATGCACATCACACCACAATGTATCGGTTAAGCAAGGATTGCAAACTGGTGTCCCTCCAGCTGTTACACAACTACAAGTCCCATCATGCCTCTGCCTTTGGGAGTCATGCTTGTAACTGTCAATCTTGCAATGCCTCATGGGACTTGTAGTTTGGCAACAGCTGGAGGGCTGCCAGTTTGACACCCGTGGGTTAAGGTATTGGTAGTATTTTCATGAGTATGAGTACTCATGAAAATATTCGGCACTGATACCGGTATCAGTTTTGGTGCAGCCCTAATTACCAGTATACAAAGTTCTTGTTCCTTCAGTAAACAGCAGTGAATGCCTTTTAAAAACCTCCATATCTTTCATTTGATCTTTTTGAACATCTGGAAACTCAAAGTTACATATTGGGGTAGGTTTACTACATACAGTGGGGCAAAAAAGTATTTAGTCACCACCAATTGTGCAAGTTCTCCCACTTACAAAAGATGAGAGAGGCCTGTAATTGGCATCATAGGTAGACCTCAACTATGAGAGACAAAATGAGAAAAAAAATCCAGACAATCACATTGGCTGATTGGAAAGAATTTATTTGCAAATTATGGTGGAAAATAAGTATTTGGTCAATATGAAAAGTTCATCTCAATACTTTGTTATATATCCTTTGTTGGCAATGACAGAGGTCAAATGTTTCCTGTAAGTCCTTCACAAGGTTGGCACACACTGTTGCTGGTATGTTGGCCCCATCCTCCATGCAGATCTCCTCTACAGCAGTGATGTTTTGGGGCTGTCGCTGGGCAACACGGACTTTCTACTCCCTCCAAAGGTTTTCTATGGGGTTGAGATCTGGAGACTGGCTAGGCCACTCCAAAACCTTAAAATGCTTCTTACAAAGCCACTCCTTCGTTGCCCGGGCGGTATGTATTGTCATGTTGGAAGACCCAACCACGTTTCATCTTCAATGCCCTTGCTGATGGAAGGAGTTTTGCACTCACAATCTCACGATACATGGCCCCATTCATTCTGTCCTGTACATGGATCAGTCGTCCTGGTCCCTTTGCGGAGAAACAGCCCCAAAGCATGATGTTGCCACCCCCATGCTTCACAGTAGGTATGGTGTTCTTTGGATACAACTTAGCATTCTCTCTCCTCCAAACACCACGAGTTGTGTTTCTACCAAACAGTTCTATTTTGGTTTCATCTGACCATATGACATTCTCCCAATCCTCTTCTGGATCATCCAAATGCTCTCTAGCAAACTTCAGATGGGCCCGGACATGTACTGGCTTAAGCAGGGGGACACGTCTGGCACTGCAGGATCTGAGTCCCTGGCGGCGTAGTGTGTTACTGATGGTAGCCTTTGTTACGTTGGTCCCAGCTCTCTGCAGGTCATTCACTAGGTCCCCCCGTGTGGTCCTGGGATTTTTGCTCACCGTTCTTGTGATCATTTTGACCCCACGGGGTGAGATCTTGCGTGGAGCCCCAGATCGAGGGAGATTATCAGTGGTCTTTTATGTCTTCCATTTTCTAATTATTGCTCCCACAGTTAATTTGTTCACACCAAGCTGCTTGCCTATTGCAGATTCAGTCTTCCCAGCCTGGTGCAGGTCTACAATTTTGTTTCTGGTGGCCTTCGACAGCTCTTTGGTCTTCACCATAGTGGAGTTTGGAGTGTGACTGTTTGAGGTTGTGGACAGGTGTCTTTTATACTGATAACAAGTTCAAACAGGTGCCATTGATACAGGTAATGAGTGCAGGACAGAGGAGCCTCTTAAAGAAGAAGGTACAGGCCTGTGAGAGCCAGAAATCTTGCTTGTTTGTAGGTGACCAAATACTTATTTTCCACCATAATTTGCAAATAAATTCTTTCCAAATCAGCCAATGTGATTGTCTGGATTTGTTTTCTCATTTTGTCTCTCATAGTTGAGGTGTACCTATGATGCCAATTACAGGCCTCTCTCATCTTTTTAGTGGGAGAACTTGCACAATTGGTGGCTGACTAAATACTTTTTTGCCCCACTGTAGTTACATAGTTAGTCTAGCTGAAAAAAGTCCATCTAGTTCAAGGAGAGAAAATTATACAATCCTATATACACAATCCTGTATGTCCACAGTTGATCCAGAGGAAGGCAACCCCCTCCCCCCTCTTTTTTCTTCCAGATGTAAGGAGCGCCCCCTTGTCCTCTGTGATGACCTCAGGGTGAATAAGTCTACACCGAGTTCACTATATGAATGTTTGTTTTGAGCTGCTCATTTTTTTTAACCATGAACAATTTTTTTTGGGATATTAATGGTCTACCATAAACAAAATCCATGTGGTAATAATTAGTTGACGTCAACAATTTTTGTATTCAAAAAAGTGCACTCTTAAAACATAAAATAGTCAATGTATATTGTGTTGGTGTTAAAAAGTCCCTATTTTTTAGGTGAAAAATGTAATGTTTTATTACTAAATGTTATTGGTTTTTTACCTCACAGGTTTTGTCATTGGCTTTCAGGGCTTTCCGAACAGAAGGTGATCATGGCCAGGGGCGGACTGACAACTCATGGGGCCCCCGGGCAATAGGGGATCATGGGGCCCTGTGTCCTTGCCCAAACTCAAAAAAGCCTATGAAAAAGGTACCAGGGGCATCTCATGGGGCCCCCTACTGACCCCGGGCCCTCGGGCAGTGCCCGAGTTTCCAAATGGTCAGTCCGCCCCTGATCATGGCGTCCAATGACAAGAAGTGTCCTTCCAAAAATTGTCTTTTTCCTGTATTGTCTGTTTTCATGTGTCCATGTTTATGGGTTTCACCCCCCCATTAGCTAGATGGTGCTTGTTTGAGTTTGTCAGTCAGGTTGTGTCTTACTGTTCAGGTCTAGGCGTGTGTTGTATGTTCAAATCTACTTTCCTTGTAACTATGTGATCGTTCATTAAAACTTTTGGCCCCATATTGGTGATCCTCGGTGTGCTGGTGACATTGTCCCTTGCTGATTCTGTTCAGTTCCAGCCGACGATCTCTGCAGCACCCACTTATACACACCGCCATTTGTAACGCAGGAATGTGCGCGTCTGGATTGTACACTTGTATGTCCTAATCTGACATGTATGGAGCTCTGGTATTAACGAGTTTCTTTGCTCCACTGATTGGCGACAAGGTAAAGCCAGTTTTCAGATGGAAATCTGATTAGGACAGCGCTATAAGGCTAAAAAGTGTTACTACATTTATTGTGTTTGTGTTTTGTGAAGAAATTCTTAAAGGATCTGTAGGTATGATGGTATATGTAGTGCCATGGCTTTAACTTGTAAGGTTTTGCTGATCCTTGTTGTCCCACAAGACTTGTGTTGTGGACTGGTTAACCTCCTGCTGTTAATTCAATTAGCTACACCCCCACCCCCCAACCAGGCCATCTCTTTTCAAGCTTGCCTAATTACCATAGGCTTGTCACCTTAGTGTTCCTAGCAGCCTGCCTTTGTGTCCCCAAGTGTATTTAAAGCCTGTTTCCTGTCCAGTGTCACCATGCACCTCTCCCTGGCTTCTAGAGATTTCTGTTTGTTTGTTTTTATGTGTTTTTCTGTATTTGTCCTCAGTGTCTGTGTGTCTCCATGCATACCTGTCAGCTTGAATTGTACCCCCTACTGTTCAGTGATTCCAGCGCTTCGATGCTGCAAGGGATTCTTGTTTGTTTATTGCCCGTTTGATTCCAATAGTAGCAGTTCCTTGAACACTGCGCCTTGGCCCTTCCAAGAGCCCTTCACCTTTGTTATATATGCGGGTATGCTGTAGTCTCCTCAGATAGTACCCTGTCCTCAGGTGCCCTTCCTGTCCTGAACACCTAGTGTACCTCAATTAATATTACACTATGGATCTGGAGGAACTCAGAACCAAATGGTGGTGAAGGTGTCAGGAAATCCAGCTTGCTCTGTCCAGTACCCAGGTACAAACAGAGGTGTCCCAGGACCTCGGAGGAATGATTGCCTCTTTCTCAGTGGGATCATTTCCACTTTGCAGAGACACAGGTAGGGTAGTATCCAAGTTTGCTATGAGTCATAAGGATTGGTGGATGGCTCAGTTCCTTGGCTGTCAAAGTTTGACTTGCACTGTCTCATCCCTGTGTCCTGTTGCAGGGACTGTACGACGTGCGTATACCGCAGTCAATTTGGGTACTATCCTATCACACTTTATTATTATTATTATTATATACAGTATTTATATAGCGCCAAAGGGTATGCTCAGCGCTGTACAGAAGCAGGGGGACATAACATGAGACAAGACAGTAACAGTGCACTAAACAAGGGGTTTGAGGGCCCTGTTCTTTCGAGCTTACAATCTAGGAGGGAGGGGAAGGTGGCACAGGAGGAGATGGCTGTGGGGGATGGAATGGTGGGTAGAATGAAGGAGGCTGGTTATGAGGTGAGGTCAGGTGTTAGGAGAGGTTGGGGTAGGCTTCCCTGAAGAGGAGTGCTTTCAGGGTGCGCCTGAAGGTGAGGAGGGTAGGTGACTTTCTGATGGATTGGGGTAGGGAGTTCCAGAGGATGGGGGAAGTCCTAGAGAAGTCCTGCAATCGGGCGTGGGAGGAGGAGACCAGGGAGCTAGAGAGCAGGAGGTCCTGTGAGGAGCGGAGGGCACGGGTAGGGTAGTATCTGGGTATCAGGTCAGTTATGTAGTTCGGGGCGGCATTGTGAATGGCTTTGTAGGTCAGGGTTAGCAGCTTGAACTTGATGCGTTGGGCAATCGGGAGCCAGTGAAGGGATTGGCAGAGGGGGGAGGCAGATGTGGAGCGCTTGGTGAGGTGGATGAGTCTGGTCGCTGAGTTTAGGATCGACTGGAGTGGGGATAGCGTTTGTTTGGGAAGGCCGGTGAAAAGGGAATTGCAATAGTCCAGGCTTGAGATGATGAGGGAGTGTACGAGTTGTTTGGTGGTGTCTGGGGTGAGGAATGTGCGTATCTTGGAGATGTTGCGGAGGTGGAGCCTGCAAGATCTAGATAGCAGTTGGATGTGGGGTAGAAAGGAGAGGTCGGAGTCCAGGGTGACACCCAGGACTTTGGCGTGTGGGGTGGGAGAGATGGTGGCGTTGTTAGTGGTGATGGAGAGGATGGGGGGGGGGGCACGGGGTGGGGGGAAGGAGGGTGTTGTGTTATGCTTGGGGCTTTAAAGGAGACAGCAATATTGGCACAAAGCAAGGTCATGTCTAATGGATGCTGAGGAATTGTCCCAACCTTGTTATAGAATACTTGGGCAAGGGTATTGGTGCCGGTGTCAAATGTCTAGTGATGCCCTATATTCTACATACGGGTTACATTGTACACAGCGGGGTACACTACCTCGGGGAGTCTACTATACATCTCCTGTCCTTGGCATAAATATAGCAGAGACACAGGGATATACCCCTATTACTTCAGAGAAAAGGCTTGGTCTCAAACCTGACACCCCCATACACCTACAGAAACTTCCTTTGGAATTTGGAGCAGAGTTAAAAGTTTGGTTTTGGGCAACAGGTTTTAGATAGCGCCAACAGTTTGGGCAGGGCGTTAATAGGAGGGATCAGCTCAAGGGGCTTATAACCTAAAGTGTGGGAGTGGTGCAAAAGATAATAGTTGCGGGTGGATGATCTGATGGAGCTGGCTGAGGTATAGTTTTTAGGTGGAGGTGGATGAGGTTCCCCTAAATAAATTAGTTTTCTAAGATCATCTAGTGGTGAACAGGGTAGGAGATGGTTGGACATACTGGGGAGGGGAGTTCCAGAGGTTCTGGACCAGTCCTGATGAAGATCATGGGAGGACGTAACAAGGGAGCTGGAGATCAGGATGTCTTAGGAGGAGTGGAGTGGTCTATTTAGGTGTTATCTTTGGATCAAAGTCAATTAATCCAAGTAACACACACATTAGAGAGAGATGCTAAAGTATGCTGATGAGAGGTTTTCCGATACAGTCCTAAAACCACAGCTTTCCTAAACATCTTACTCCACCCTCTTCATCTGATTTGTGTAACCCTGTTGCTCTTCTTGATGCAATTAATATTGTGCATCACTATCAGGAGAATTAACACCAAAGTTATAAGAATGTGTACCTCGAGGAGATATCTACTCTTGAGAAACAGAGAGGCCATTACCTCAGAAACTGCTCTCTGAAGAGCCTGATCCAACCCAGACAAACACAAAAGAAATTTGCATATATCAAAGAGAGGACCCTAAAACAACATAAAGTTAAAGGAAAAGGAAACTCTTGATGTTCTTTGTTTCTTTTTTCCCCTTTTTATAGAGATGCCCGTAGCGAAAGGAAAGAAAAGATAATAGCGCAGGGCAGACATGACGAGGCCAAGAGGGGGTTAAAAAAAAGACAGGAAAGGGTGAGAGAAAAGTAAGAGGTGGGTTTTAGTTAAGGCTAAGTACCTGATTGGTAACTTGGGGTGGAAGGTGGGGTCTTCTGCACCTGTGGGTGTGTATGGGGAGGGTCGTTCTGCAGTCCAGGAGCAGACAACTGAGAAAGAGATTGAGAGAGCTTGGAGATGCTGCTTTCCCCCATTCTTGCAGGGATTTCTGAGTCCAGCCTTCATGGATGTGGAGGGGCTGATGTCCCAGCTGCGGGAGGCTGCTGCATCCTGGGGTGCTGCTTGGCTACAGAGCCGGGTCTTGGCCGTACTGGGGGACCTGGGCTCAGTGCAAGCAGCGGAGGGGCGGGAGTGCCCACACGCTTGGAGGTCTTGGCCTCCGGAGCAGTTTAGTCCAGGCTCCTCCCCCAGAGCTCAGCGCCTTCCTGGGAGCCCCGATCGGGACCTTCCGGCCCCGTGGGCAGGGCGCTCCCCTGCCTCTGCTGGCGTAGCAGGCCGGTAGGAATCCCCATCCGCAGCGGAGCTCAGCAGAGTGGTCGCTGTGGTAACGGTTCTCCTCCCCTGGTTGGGCACCGGACCGGGAGGGGGCCCGGCTTGCGAGACGTTCAGCTGCGGCCGCCGGGCTTTCCCCTCCTGTGGCCGGTGGTCCCTCAGGGGGGTCAGGAGCCTCAGCATGGAAGACTGGCAAGAGGAGCAGCGCTGGCAGAGAGCAGCTGAGCGCGTGGCTGGGACGGCGATCCAGGACTGCAGTGGGCAGGTCTGGTGCCGGGAGGCGGAGTCGTGAGTGGCACAGACCAATGGGACCCGTGGCTCCTGGGACTGGGAGGCCATCCGACTGGCGCAGAGAAGAGGACCGTTCCGAGGGCGAGCTGTCTGGATCCGATGCGGTGGCCGGCTGCTCGGCAGCGGTGGAGTCCGAACCTGCGGCTGATGGGACCTCTCCTGGGCAGCCTGGTGAGTTGAATGTTTTTGGTTCTTCTATCTCTTTCTGTTCAGCTCTGTGGGATCTGTTGGGGGGTGGGGCCACCCCTTTAGTGGCGTCAGATGGCGGCGCGGCCTCCGCCCCTGCGGTGGCGGACATCAGTGCTTCCCCGTCGGGTTTTGATGCGGGTCTGGGTCTTGGTTTCTGGGTTGCGGGACTTGCTGCAGCGCCTTGAGCGGGGTGGTAGTGTCGACTTCTGCGTGGCTTCCTTGTGCTGGTGGGATGTGGTCAGGGTCCCGGGGCGGTACCTTGGTGAGGTGCAGGGGTTGGCGTTTTCTTCTTCTCCATGTTCCGGGCTAGGGGTGGTTCCAGTGGAGGCCTGTGCTCTTGGCCCTGCTTGCCTATCCACGCCTTTGGGTGAAGGTGCACGGGTTTTGGAGCCGGTCTGCCTGGCGGACTCTGCTAAGTGTGAGGTGTATGTTTGCTTCGCGGG